CAGAAAAACGCACATGGGAGACAGAGGATCTTTTTGGCAAGTATCCTGTCCTGTCTTCACCAAGCTGCACATAATGTCCATAAGGACCACTCTTTAAGAAGACCTGGAAGAAGTATGAATTTAGAGTCAACGTACCAATGAAAGAAAAAAAAAAAAATCCCAATTGCAAAGCTCAAAGAGCATGATCCATCCTCCTCCTCAATGAATACAAAGACCAAGATTTAAAGACCTTTTCATTGGAACTTGGATGAAGACCAAGCATTTTTGGCTCCTCCACAGTGTTACTCTTTTGGGGGGTATCTTCGTCTTCATCATCACCATACAATGTCTTAGCAATATACCTATGCACATCCAAATAAGTCAATAAAAAGACCAAAATAATGTAAACCAAAGCCAATTTCACATTGCTTGATACTTACTTGCAACGTGGGTGTTGATTACATCCTATGAAGTACCCTGCACCAAACCTACTTACTTTGAAAATCAAAGTGCCCTCCATACAACTGAAAAATGTTTACGAAAAGTCATGGTGAGTGTTAACTCTTTTGGTAAATTAATGGTGGATGACTTGATGTTAACTGAATGAGTAGAAATCATTGAAGAAACGAATATAGAAAGCAAAATATAACACGAGCAAACATATAAGAGGTGCTGAATATAATTAAAATTTTCAACTTATTGTGACAGGGTAAGTATAGATGTCTTGAATGTCAAAATAGAATTTTGAAATAATGCTTGCTGTCAAACTTGCTGAAATTAATAATTCATCAATAACCCTTTTTTTATGCAAATGTAATGACTTTAAAGATTCAACAAAATAATTGTTAAATTATGCACCCATGTCATCATGCTAGCCATACATCAACTAAAACAGAGAGAAAGGAAGTGAAATCAAAAGGGCTAATTGTAATATAGGGTAGGATCGCAATCAAGCAAATTGCTTTGCATTAACACATAGAATAGGGATGAAATCCACAAAGAATATGAGAAGCTCAGTAACAAGGAGGAAGTAACTTGATATTCAGTGCTAAAGCATTTCCATCCAAGACAATCAGCATTGCAATGGCTAACTTAGGAAATAGATTTTAAAGGTTCTAGACTGAGTTTTTAAGAATTAGTATTAATTTTTCCTTCTCCATAAATGATTCAACAAAGGTTCTTCAAGATTTTATTTAAAAAAAAAAAAATTGTTCCAGAACTCTATCCTTAAATTCCATGGAAGGAACACAAAACCAGAATTCCAACCTTGGACAAGTCCTACTTTTATCAGGGAGAGAAGCAAACAAGAAATCTTCAAATGTTTTCTCTAACATTTTCTCCACCTGCAAACATGTTACTAATTATGAATAACTATAATGACCATACTGATATCAAATCTACAATGATTACAAAAGAACTGAAAGATACCTGATGAATATGGACACTCTCAGTACGACTACAATATGATTTAAATCGTGTCCAATAATCTTTAAGGAGTCCTTTCCATTCAGTTAATCCAGCCGAAACATTATCAAGCTGATAGAAAGCATGATATTTTGAATCAAGGTAAAACATAATGCAAAATTAATGATAAGACGACATACTATGAAGCCATGCAAATCAATAATTGACGATCATGGGTATAAATATCTTATCCAAACAATACAGAGCTAAGGCACCTAAAGAATTTAATTCTAAATGTATTGAACTGAAAAAACTGTATGCAACAACCAGAGTTTTTAAACTGACCTCGCTCTCCATGTCAGCAGTAAAACTGTAGTCAGTAACCTCTGAAAAATGGTGAGAGAGAAATGCTGAAACCTAAATATTACCCCAAAATATGGATATTAGAATAGCCAGCTTATAGTAACATTGATTTCATGATCTCAAATAGTATAACAGAGTGAAGCAGGGTAGCCATCACCAAGAATCAGAAATAGTATCTTCTCAATTTTACATGAAAAGTTTAATCTCAACATTTAACACTGACAGACTGAAGCCTCTAGCAAGCAATAAAGCAGCCATTTTCATTTTCTTAGGTATATATCAATAAACATAATTATATAGGAACGTACAAACAAAACTTTTACAAAAGCATGGTAGAAATAGAAACCAATGTTACAAAGGCACATTAAAGAACAGCACTTTGAGGGTAGCTCAGTAAAATCAGTACGTACCATGCGACCACGGAATTCTGGATGCAAAACGCGACTTTTTACCGTAACATAGTTTCTATCCTGATGCCATAAAGAAATGAAGATGTTATAAATCCTCCAAATTGATACTGAAGTAGAACATAAAATAGCAGGACAGTGGCAGACCAAAATGGAAGAAATAAAAAGATCCAACAGAGGTACTTCTTCGGTTCTCCATTTCTTAACAAACTACCTAAAGAGTCCCATATATGGAATCAACAACAAAGCAATGGCCCAATGAAGAAAATTTCTGTAACGTAATTTATTAATATTAACATGAGCAAATGAATGACAATGTGAATATGCCTAGCAATGTCATTCACGTCTAGTGTAAAATAAGACTTTGAGAAGAGAAGACACTTAGCATAGACGCATTTTGCTTGATACTGAGTACTAGTGGAACCAACAGTTCTCAGAAAAGAGAACACAATCATGGATAATAGAATTTAAAATCTTGTAAAACCATTCAACTAGCACCATGCACATAAAAAAACCAATCCATACGAAAAATCAATCTCAGTTTGAAATTTTATCATATAGACAATTGTTAACCTGCAAAACTTTTAATGTAGTTGCATATGTTGAAGGTCTTCCAATCCCAAGCTCCTCCAGTTTCCTGACCTGTGGTAATCCAACACAATAGATGCCAGAAAACCCAGTCATGAACAAATAGCAGAAAGCATGGATTATCAACAGTCTATCTTCCACCCAAGATGTGTAAAGTAAAAGGAGATAACATTTGAATCTTCACTATTCTTATCATGTAAACATTTATTTGATACCAAATTAACAATCCAATTCCAAATAATTTTGAAATATTTCTGCAAAAAAGATTATGTTTACTTTCTTTTCCTTTAAAGAAATTTATTATGGCATTTAAACATCAAGAAGCAAAAGGATACAAAGGTATGAGCCTATAGAACAGATCCTGTTCAGGTAAGGTCATAAAGCGTTGCCGTTATAGATGAATGCTGTAACATGGGACCTTTTTAAACATTACATTTTGCAACAGAAATACTAAAATAATAAAACTTCTCATGCATTAAATACCAGAAGCAAAATTACATGACTATATCTGATGAATTATGCTATAGTTGATCTAACTCAAAACCTTAACTGACAAGAACTCAAGCAAGCAAAAGGTTCTTTGAGAATCTTAATGTCTGGAAAAGTTTTACTCTGACTATAGTAGAGTGGATCCTACTTTGTGGCAGCCAATTCATAGACACAACAAATTGATTGCAAATACTTTAAACAAAAGAAAGAATGAAATAATGTACCAACGATCCCTCAGAGTAGCGTGGTGGAGGCTGAGTATAATGCTTCTTGAGTTCTACTTCACCAAGACTTAACAGATCCCCTTGCTACAAAATAAATAAGAAAGTGAATGGACAGCCTCAACAAAAAAAATTTGTAAGAAACCAACATTTCCAAAATTTCCATAACAAGTTGGGCATCCCAGGAAGGTCTACTGCCACAAAGAATCAAATTCAAAGGCAAGAATAATTAGAGGAAAAGAAAAGAAAAATATATATCTATATATTATAAAAAAAATATAAAAAAAAAAAAAAAAAAAAAAAAAAAGAAAAAAAAAAAAAAAAAATATATATATTTAAAAAAAAAAAAGAAAAAAAAAGGAGAGAGGAAAAGATGCATCAGTAATCAAAATAAAAAAACATTTCATGTTAGTAACAGATGGAAACATCACCTTCATAGAATTAAGAATTTCAAAAGTTTCAGCACGATCAGTCCCTTCATTATCCTTAACCCCAATTGCTTCAGCTTCAACATCCTACAAAGTACAAAATTATAATAAAGTATGAAACGCAAAGAACCAACTAAATTTTAAACACCCAACAAAAAAGCAGATAATCTTTCATGTAAACGTTTAATTAAATGAGAAATAACATAAAATATCAAACTACTCATTTTCAAAAAGGTCATAATTAGCACTCTTGCACTCCAGAGGATGGAGTATAGATTATACCTGATAAACTGCTTGGTACCCAAGAAACAATAATCTTGGGCATGAAGAACGGAAAACAATGGATCCATCATCGTTCCCAATATCTAGTTGTACCTGGTCAGACCAAAAGAATGTCAGGCATTATATGGATGATAGCGAAAGGAAAAGCACAACACAAATAATTAAAATGACATACATTATGTATATGAGAGAAAAGAAGAACATAAAGAAGTATATAAATGTTGCTCCAAATGCAAATAAAACACTTGATTTTTTTTTTTTTTTGGTACAACTGATTATGAACTATACAAAAGGGGATAGCCCCCCCCTATTCCCAAATCCCTCCCCACCCGACTCAAGAATCGAACTTGAGATCTCCAACTTGAAATCTCAAGTTTTTAACCGTTGAACCACCCCATTGGGGTTAAATAAAACACTTGATGATTAGAATAAACAATAATTTCCACCAGAAAATGGTATGCAAACTTTTCTAATTAAGTTAAGGAAACTTGCCATAAAAATGAAAATTTTGCATTTTCACCTGCTCTATGCTTGCAGGTTCCATTTGGCATGCCATTGTCCTTGCCCAGATAAGAGAATACAACTTCAAGCAGTCTTCTTCAAGTATTTCAACAAGCATTGCTGACAGACAATCAGAGAAATTCTGCTGTTAATCATAGTCAAACTTCATTGTAGAAAAGGTCAAATCTACATTAAAAGTTCATACAAAAAACAAATTTTATAAGATTCAATGCATCTTGATATTTTATTTGCTTACATGGTAACCGTTGAATATCAGTAGGTCTAATTGCTTCATGGGCTTCTTGAGCATTCTTTACCTTCTTGAAATACTTCCGTGCATTTTCTGGAGCAAAATCTGAACCATATCTGCAGAAAATAAGTTTTAGTCACAAACAAAAAAGAAAAAAAAAATTGTGAGTAAAGGAATGACATATTGATTGCAATTAAATAATACACTTATGTAATGCAATTTGGCAAGTGCAAACAAATCAAAATTTTGTAATGCTGTAAGAACTTAAAAAATATCAGGTGAATTCTTTGCCCAATATATTTGTAATGCAGTAAGAATTTAAAAAACATTATTCTGTATTTCCTTCTTCCAGTCTACAACTACAATTCCTGGGCAAAACTTCCAAGAAATGACAACAATTTGAAACTTTAAGAAGCAAAGAGAAACAGGTTACACATTGTTCCTCTTGCTTTGAATGGTACAAGCATACCTTTTATTAAAATAGATGCCTTAAAGTTAAAACCACGTTTTTCTTTTTCAAGACTTGAAGTTAAAGATCTTGATATTTATATTTTATTTACATTAAACAAGGAAAAACTTAGAAATATTGGCATAGCAAAATCATCACAACCGAAGAACAAGTCTGAGGATGCAGCAGTCTGCATGAAGTAGAGACCAGCATTAAAGAAAAAAACAATTTGGAGCTTTAAATTCTGTATCTCACCTTTCCATAACCAAGGAGCGTATGTCCTTAACAGCTTCATCAGATATCTGAGAGAAAAACCAGGAGCAGAATTATTAAAAGCCACAGAGGAGTGTCAACTCTTGGGGCATTCGTAGTATGGACAAAAACATTAGGGCTTTAACACAGACATGTATGTCAAAGAGAATTAGTGGCATATAACATATCCACACAATTGAAAATGCTGTTTTTATTGATTTTAATCATACAAAGTAGCAAGCACTGTGGAAGGTTTTTTGCTGATGAACAGGAAATTTATTTTCAAGTAGACTAAGAAAAATTTTCATTATTAGACCTCGATTTCACAAAACTTTTATGATGAATGGGGAGTACCATGCATAATATTAATTGAAGAGAAAACATACAGTCATGAACAAAAGGTTTTTCCTTTTTTGATTGGCAGCTGTTGCACACATTTGAATCCCTGACCTTGACCCTAGAATCAAAGTTAGTTGGTGGATACCAATTCAACTAAGCTCTTGCTGGTATAACAAATTAAATGTGCACAACCAAAACAACCAAAAGTGGACAACAATAACCTCTTACAATGATCAAGATGGAGAAATTGCAAGAATTGTTCTCAAATCCTCCCTGGTTCTCAGCAGCTAACAAATTTCTAATAACAAGCTTATGCTTAGGGGGGGAAAAAAAAACCTCACATGGTCACACTCAATAATCTCAGAAGTTTCTACTTTTATTGCAGCTGCAATTTCTTCCAATTACTAGAATCAGAATGTCAGTAAATTATTATATCTAGATCACAGAAGAAAAACATACAATCGTATGAATACATCTAAATTCTCACATTAGGTATTTGCAGACTGCATTACACCATAAAATTTTCTCCTTCGCAGAATAAATTAAAGACAGCAATACATAGAAAAAAGCAGGCAAACATGTACTTACATGCAGTCCATCTGTTCTAATGTATGTTATTAAACCCATTGCCTTATCATCTGACAGTTGAATCCCTTCATAAAGTTGTTGTGCAAGCTGCATTAATATGTTAAGTTATAAAACAATAGTAAAAATATTGAAAACAAACAAGAAATTAACATATTATATTAGAGCAGTGACAACCAAATAAATCTGAAATTTTTCCTTCTGCCAGAAAGCAATAAATCTGAGAGAAAATACAATAAAAAAGAGGCTGAACCAAACCAAAAAGTCGAGCATTTTGCATTAAGCCAAAAAATTTGAGTATTAGAAGTAGCA